ATCTTCTGAGCACTAGTTACAATCTGTTCTAGACTGCTGCATTCAGAAGAAAACAACACGAGTGTTATAAAAGCGAAGAAAAAACTAGAAGAAAAGGATATACATACGAAATATAAAAAAATCCTTGCACATTATTTAGACTACTTAACCATTCTTTAAATAGTTTCATCTCACAAGACTCAAAAGCGGCACTGGACTCTTTCTATAATGCCTACTGCCTGCTAGATCCACCCAATTTATATTTGTTTCTGTATGATGCTTATCAGTCATCTCAGAGATGGAATCAATCACTACTCTTTTGCAAAACCTGATTATTAAAGCATTTGTGGCACATGGCTTTTCACTCTTAAAGACTGTCCTGTCATTGTCCCTCTGGAGTCGCCACTACTGTATGTCATTGGCGAAAGTACTAAAAGCGTTCTACTGTAGTTTGTTTTTAAATGTTCTGAGGTCTGACCCTTTATTTTTTCGTTTCTGTTAGTTTCAATACTATTGCAATTTTTCTGATGGGCTGCTAGTTCCAACAAAGGATACAAATACAAGCTCTTAGGAACATTTGCTTTGTTGACAGTGAAATTAGGATGTAAGTCCATTAAACCACCAGAAAACACTGGACAGCAGTGACAATATCAAAATGAAATGCTATATACTGTATTGTTTTTTCTTATGTGTGCAAATGTGTACTTACATGTTACTGTATATTTGGGTACATGTTTTTTATTTGTGTGTTTAGAAATGTTTTATTTGAAAATCTAATGATTTTTGCTGAATCAATGTATGCCACTGTGATGATGAGTTTCTGAGATAGCTTTTTAGCTTTCACTTGCCAGTAGTTTATATTTTATTCTTTATCTGGAGTATTTGTAATTTGCTTTCTTTTTACAAAACACCTTGGGAATGCTAATCTTATGTCCACTGATATGAACAAACAAAAAACACACAGTGCATATCTGCTTATTGCTGTTATAATGTTGAGAATGTATGCATTTTAGGATAACTTCTTGTAAAATATTCTGCATAACCACCAGACCTCCTACATGAAGAACAGACACAATTGCTGCTTTATTTATCGAGTTGAAATCTGTATGTTGAAAACACTCTCACTGCCTTCTTCTGGTTCCCTAGAACTGGAAAGGTTCACCTAAACTGAGGCCCATATTAAACTACAACTTCAGCCCACCAGACAGTGATAAATATTAAATCTAATGCCTGATGGAAGCCTTTAATACAAACAAAAGTTGCTGCTTTTACAATTTTATGAATTGTGGGTGAGTCCAGATGTTGATTTCAAACTCAGCCTTATTTGTTTACAGATAAACATTACTGTGACTTTAGTTTTGCAGTATTACAGTGTAGATGTTTATTACATGGTGGCTGAGTGCCATTGTGATATACAGTAGTTCTATATTTTTCAAACCTGTTTCTGGAATATACTGTATGTCTGCTAAATAGTCCGTTAGAAACATAGCTACTGTATGTGGGGCTATTACTTTTGTGATCATTGTAACTCAGTCCAATGGTCTGGTTAGAACTGAATGCACAATGAACTTTTAAACGAGTCCAAAGTTATTTAGAAGGAGTGCAGTTAATATATATCTGACCATAGTTCTCAGAATCTGAATGTACCCTTTATTGATGACAGCTCATTTATTGGTGTTATCAAGTGTTGTGATTGTACTATATGTACACATCTGTAAGAAGTTATAAATAAATTACATTCTTTACAAAGGAAAATGCAAATGCAGTACACATTCTTGATTTGGATATCTTTGCACAGTGCAAACTATGTAATGCAAACCACTCAGCAAAGCCTTACAGGTTACAGGTTTTAGTGGAATTTATCATACAACTGTTACTAGAAGCATAACAATAACAAATATACTTGAAATTAGAAGACAGATTTTAGAAATCTTTTTAATATATACAGTAGTTGTTATTCTCATTAACTTATTACATTATTTTTGTTTTCTGAAAATTGTAAAAAAAAAAACAAGTGTTTTATACTTTCATGAATTAAAGAAATGAATACATTTAGAAGAAATATGTTTATAGCTTATTCATACAGCTTTAGTTTTCTGGAATATTGTACAGGTTTTCAAATAAATCACTATGTATCCTTGGATTTTCATCATATCTGTAAATGTGTTTTATTTTTCATATTGAACTTTGAAAAACTATAGTTTCTTTAGATGGATACCATGCAATGGACATCAGACAACACATATTGTATATATTGCATTGATTTTTGTAATAATATTATACTATAACAATTGAACTGCAAAGGTAACACTTAAACCAAAAAAATAAAGTATTTCTATGGATCTGAAGTAATTTTAGACCACATATGTTTATCCAGTAGGTTGTGTAATATCTTTTAATCAGGTTAGAAAACTTTTTTTAGATTTTTATTTTAGAACTTTGATTCACATTTACCCTAGACAATAAAAAACAGAAATATTACTTGAGAAAAAAATGGAATAAACATTTACATTATTTTTCATGTTTTTTTTTTCATCTGGGATCAAGGTTAAAATAATAATAGTTTATAAAAACAGAATGTAAGATTACTATCTTCCTAAATCCACAAGTCACCAGTAAAAAGGATCTGTTTATGCATTTACAATTCACCGCAATTTGTATTTTTAATAAGAAACAAAATAGTCTGTGTTACAACCATGACTCTCCTATAATCTTGCCACAACCCACTGAGGCAGTTCCAGTAAAAACCCCCATGGCTGACAGAAATAATTTACAGAAACAGCATGGTGCATGATTAGTATGATTTTCCAGGGAGTTTTAAGGTCTGAGCTTTAAAAAGACATTTCCTTCAGGCTGGAGGTTTCCCCTAATGGAACTGTGGTCCTGAAACAATTCTTCATTTGTGTGCAGTTCCATAGCCTCCTTCATGCTGTGCATGTTCAGTTCCTGGCTTCCGAATCCACCAGTGCTTTGCTTCTGAATCTGAATGACTCCTAACTTCTCCAGTTCTTTCAGCACCTTCCATATATTTCCAAATCGGAATTTTAGGGCAAATGTAAACAGGTCATTTGCAACATCAACAGGAAAGCATTAACCAGTTATCAAAATGGTACATATGGATAGTACGGTATCTTTAACGTTAAGCAGGATTAAAATAAAAAATGGTCCAAATTCAATGTTCCTCCCCAAATAGTGTCGATCGTACTTAGGACTGAGGTCTCTGTTCTAGACAGACCTGTACCTACAATTGAATCTCATTTTACTTATGGCCAGAAAACCTTCCTATAGCATATTTCAACAATGAAGGGAAATGTACAGGAAACAGAACAGAAGTGCCCCATTAAAATTTATTTCACAACTCAATTGTCAAATGTGGTATAAAAGCATTAATGGAAATTTGCAGAATGGAAAATGATGTGCTGATCACTCCACTTTCAAATAAATGGAAATGCTTGCCATAAAAGGTCGAATGTTTCCAAGGGTAATGCTAACACAGAGGGAGTATTTACATGCACACTGATTTTTTTATTTACTTCCCAGGGATGTGATAGCATAAAGCTTGCTGACCTTCCTTAGTTTTGTGCATATACTACTAGATCACCATGGCTAAAGGGTTACTTCAACAGCTAATGCTAATCATGCTGTTTGATATAAAATGTGGACAGTTTGTTAAATGAATGAATAATTCCAGTGCCATCTTATCTAAATTACCAGGCAGATAGGAGGACAGATGTTGGCACTCAGACAAGAAGCTTATTTACATAGGCGTGTAGGTGATTTGAATGCAAATCCTTTCTTGCATCAGAAATGGAGAGTGTCCCTTGTAGACTACAGACAGGTGCTTTTAGGTTAAGCCTTTGTCACACTACAGGATTCGACACGACTTCTAGTCAGAGAGCTTATCAAATTTAACAACTGCAATTGCTGAATCTTCCTGCCTTTTCTGTTCTAGAGGGTGTCAAATTATACAACTAGGAATCGCAGGGGGTGACTAATTACACAATTCCTTCACGACTTTTCATCACGGTTCCAAATCTCGTGTTATGACACGAAAGTACCGTGAGGTCACCTCATTTTGGCAGCCAGTCAATGTGGAGCTCACCGGAATAAGAGGAGGAGCACTGCACGAAAGTACAACAAATATGAAATGACAAACACGAAACATCGAACAGACATCTGTGCTGGCTCCAAAGTTCGATGAGCCTCTCCTCCATTTGCACAGACCAAAACACTCACTTTCTTTCTTTCTTTGCAGCTGCATTGTATGCATTGTACTTCTGGTTGAGCACTCGTTGGATGTTTACTGTCGCAGACACAAGAGCCCACCCCTACGACCAGTTTGATTTTCTCATAGCGAGTCCCAGAGAGTGGTAGGGGCTGTAAAGAGCGCTATGACTGAGTCACACTACACAACTGACAGTAACGGGTGTGCACTGCAAATCTCTACAACTCGCTGTGATTTTCTTACAATTATGTAAAGGAAGACTACTACTGAAAATCCTAGGAAAAGTCGTGTTATGTGTCACTGGCATTAGGAAGAGCCCTGTGTAGGGATCAAGGCCAAAAGGAAAAGCTTAGCCGCATATTAAATTGTGGAGGACTTAAAAAACTGTAGTAATTGCCTAAATATTTAATGTCCACTCTCAGCTCCCTTTCCCCCAAGAGATTTAATTTCCTTCTCATTTTTTGTTAATGTCAGGTTAATATTTTGATAACTTTCTACCTAATCGCCATGTGTAAAAATAGCACTGCATTTCTTTTATCTCAGCTGATGCGAGGTGGAAACAGAAGCCTACTTTGCAGCCCCTTATTCACAAGACTGAATCTTAAAGAGTGTTCATGACGCACGACTCACTTTTAATGAGGGTTGGGATATGTACTGTGTGAAACAGTCAGAAGAGAAAAAAGTTTGCTTTCACAGCACTATAAATAACGCTTCTTATCAAGTCTAGGCACTCAACAAGAATGCTAAAAGCTTATGCTATTGCTGAAAGCCCATATACAGTATTTTGTCTGTATGTTGTTTGCATGCAAGTACAGTACTGTATGTGTGGGATGCGGGTAAGTTATATCCCTATGGACACTACCTTTGAATTTTACAAAACCTCAGAACTCAGAAGATGTTTTTTAACATCTTTGGCAACGGTGTTCCAACTAATTTTCTCAATATGGTATTACATACATTTCACATCAATCTAGATGAGAATGAGATCATGCTCTGGTTATTGCCCACAAAAGACTGTGCCTTTCGTGTTAGTTTTTAATTCTGAAAACAGAAATTTTGAGGCTCTCAGCCCTGCGTCTTTCAATGTACATTGAGCCACCTTGAAAAAAAATAATATTTATAACAAATGGAGCTCTGTATAAACAGTGGTATTTATTTTGAATTCATTCTGCTCTTTGAAGGTGAAGAGAACATCTATAAATAAAATCTGAAGGACTTGCTTGTATAAATGCAATAAAACTAAGTGGCCTGTAAGGTTTATAGTTTTGGTTGGATGTAAAATGAGTTGGTTGTCTTGACGCAGTCACACATTGGCATTAAACATACAGTACCTCACAATTCTCTCAATTCAATATTAATGTACTCTCAGAGGTAAGAAAGTGGCACATTAGCTAGAAGGTGTTAGGAAGCAAATATTCCTACATTTTGGTACTGTTGGAGATTCGTGTCCAGTAACTGCTGCCCAGATGAAAGACACAAAACCTACATGCAAGGTAAGCTGTTTTTCCACCTTCATGAGCAGTAACACAATACTTTCAAAAACTGTAGGTGAGCCAGTAGAAAACAATATAGCTCATGATGTCTAACTATACTGCCATAGCCAGGTGTTTATATGTAAAAAAGTATTTGTATCCCCTGAAGATCATGCCTTTGTTCAAACTCCTTATTCCCTGTCTTTAGCACTGTATTAAACAAAGATGTCTTGTTAGGTGAGCAACTGGAATCAAATGTCAAAATATGAAACTGAGAATTTTAAACATTGCACTTTTGTGGTCTTCCACAAGTTTATTATTTTGTCACTGTAAATATAGTTTTCCTTTCAAGACGGCATAATCTTTTAGAGCCAATGGAAATATATACCACTTCTTGTTATTCATATCTCATGACAATCCTTGGCTACTAAGTCGGTACTTTTTCAAAATTTTATTCAGAAGAATTTAGGATGTGAATGTAGGTCTTCGAGGAATCCGGACCACATTGTATGTGTTGAGTCCTGGTGCATCGAAGCCCGGAGACTGACCCTTCTTGTCGAAAGGATAAAAGTTAAAGAGCTGCCCATCTTGAGCTTCCAGTGAAACAGAGGCAGTGCTGACTCGTAAGACACAGGGGTATTCTTTCTCAAAGATGACCTGGAAGACCCTGTCCTCCAGGTAGTTGAGCTTAATTGTCCTATACCGTTCAGGGATCAGATCCTCTATATGTGGACCAAACTGCTGCATGATTAGGACCCCATCTGATCCAGTTTTAATCTCATAGAAGGTGATGTTGCTGTAGGTATAGAAACCAACATAAGGGGCAGGATTGGGTGGAGGTGCCAGAATGCGTCTGGCTTCTCGGAAAGCTGTCTCCATGGCTGGGATTATATAGCTGTATGTCTTAGCTACCAAGTCTTCCTCTTGTGGCCTGCTTCCAGCCATGAGCAAAACCAAGCCCATCTTTAGCCGCGGCACCAAGGAGAAGGTAGCTGAGTAACCATCCAGATCTCCATCCTTCCGTAATACCTCGTAGCCAAGCTGCTCATTCACCTCCCAGGGAGTACCTGTCCAGTTGGCGAAGTAGTCTTTGTCACAGCGAAAGAGGGGCGTCATCATAACCTTCAGAGTGTCAGGCTCCAGGATCTTGCGGTGATAGGCCCCCAGAAACATCATGGCCAACTTGGCTAGGTCAGCTGCCGTGGAATACATCTGCCCAGAGGGACGGTACCAGCCCAGGTCATAGAGAGGTGCTGGCTGTCCATTACTGTAGAAGCCCACAGCCATCTGGTTTTGAATGGTGGGAGTGATATCAAACCCTGTGTCCTCCATCCCCAGCCGGTCCAGGATGCTGTCAGAGATCCAGCGTTGGTAGTCTGTGCCCACCACCTTATCCGCCAAGACATGAGCCAGAAGGGAGAAGGCGAGGTTACTGTAATGGCATCTTGGGGAGAAGAGAGAAGAAAGAGAGAAGAAAGATCAATTAGGAAATGTTATATGACTTGGGATTCTGTCAAATCAGCAGAGTTTTTTGCGTGAGTATGAAGTCCTTCTATATCTATCAAAGGATGAAAATTTTATTGGAATTGGATTCAAGATAAATCAATTAAAATTAATGAATATGTTGAGCACCAAAAGAAACATATCACTCTATTCAAACATATGTGGTTGTAGAAAAATGAAGTATATGGATATTGGTTACATGTTTTACATGTTCATTGTGATTAAATGATCATGATTGACTTTGACACACTTGAGTGTGTCATATATAAGCACTTAATCAGCTCTGTAGTGAAAGATTTGATTGCGCACAGGTAGCGAAGTGATTTAACCTGTTGAATGTCAAGCTCGTCAAAAAATAAAAAAAGAATAAGTATGCCCTATTTGTCAAGAGAACAGCACTTTTGTGCATTCAGCATTTTGGAGGCTAGATAACATAACTGCACTTCCAGCTATATTAGGGCTGGTCCTGGCAAAACCTAGCAAAACTTTAATGCCAAACACAGTTCTTCCCAATCTGGTCAGACATGAGACCTCAGTGGGAAGTTTTACAAATACAAATCTCAGTTTTTTGTATCAAAGCCAGATAAAATATATGAATTATACAGTAGTTAGTTATCATGTTAAAAAGAAAGTTATATAAGTAAATAAACAAAAAGTATATACGGGTGTAGAACTGGAATTTGCACTTACAGTTAAGTAGTAAATTCCTCAAGAGGGAATATGTTTAAATCTATGTGAAAAAGGTGATAAATCCAGAGGTGGACCATGACCATATGTACTAAAATTGCATGAATTTTGTATTTATAGTCCAAATATTACAGAAAAATGTTATGCTATTGAGTTGTGAAGTCAACAGATTCAGAATCAGGTGACAGTTACCAACAAAACAGGTGGTTTCTTGTGCTGCAAAAAATACACTGAATTTCAATTTATTGAAAAGAGCTTTTAGCTTTTATTGAAAGCTATTTTTTTATGTCCCTTCACATAATGGGTAAATGTAAAATGTATATAGAAGGTCTTTATGAGACAGGCCTATATGGTTAGTCTATTCTGAAATCAGCCTGTTTATAGGAGAATGTCGTGAATATTATTTTACAGTTAATGCATGATTAACAAATCTCCTTTTAAACCTCTGGGTTTAAAAGGTTGAAATGGTTGATATGCAGCAATCAAGACACATGCCATGTCAATGGGATCTCACAGGATCCGAGGGTCAGCTGCATTTTCTTGGATCCAGAATCTAGATTTCTGGATACAGCACGCTTGGAAGCTTTATTGGAAATTAACTGATTCCGTAGGCTTTTCCCTTTTAGCCTTACCTGGTACCTGGGTCAGCGACTAACACGTCATCTTGCAAGAGATTGATAGCAGCCTGTGTCTTTCCTTTCCACAGCAGGTTTGTCGCCCTCAACCGTCTGGGCAACCCTGTGGGTTAAAGTATACACACCCAAGGACACTTAATCCCGGTTACACCCTCTTTACGCAACTACACTGTGTGACTATTCTTCATACCCACAGATATAACAAAAAATGCAGAGGAAAAGGAAGACCTTGAGGCTGTCTCAGATTTCCTTTTTTCCAAATGTCAGCTGTTATTTGTTCTCTGTGCTTAATGGGACCTCACTGATCTTTCCTGTATGTTATCGTTGACAAGGCATCAGTTCAGTGCTTGCTTGTGTCACCACCTCATATTTGCCAAGCAATTAATCCTGTGCTGAGCCTGGGCCCATGGATCAACCAAAACCTTCAGTAACAACCACTGCCTGTCTCTCTCAAGCTCTGAATGCACATATCTTACCGTAAATGCTGCAGATTGCAGTCTTCCCACTAACTCGCTTTAATCCTTGTGCTGGATCTGACCTCAGGACGGATACAGATAATGGACTAAGTGCTAGCTGCTGTCAAGACTCCCCATTTGTCACGGTAAAGAGTTTGCATTTAGATTTGTCACTGGGATATGGTATGTCTCTCCTTTCCCTACAGGTCTGTGATTATGCACTGTCATTAATTGCTGGGGATTCAGTTGGATCCCAAAAAAGGACTCAAACATTGATTTAAACAAATGTAAAAAATAAAAGAATGCTGTTAATTCAGAAGAAGTGAGCTGAAGATGGAAAACAAACATCCAATTTATGACATATGGTACGGTATATAACCCATTAAATTGTGACTTAATAGTACCTGTCCTTCTCTGTTTTATTAGGCTGCTTTACCAGATATGGGACTTTCTTCAAGGAAATATATATATACATAAATAAGGAAAATATACAACATATACATAAAATATACAAATGTAGAAATTAATGTGCTTAAATACAGAAAGAAAGCCTTAAGTTAGTACTGTAGATACTTGAACCTTTGTTAGCAAAATATTCACATTTTTTTCCAATCGATTACATTGAAGCCAAACAAAAAAGATATATGTACTGTACTTATAAAGCATATACAGTAATTATATATTGAAATAAACTTTAGAATTTTGGTTTTAAGAGCAATATTTATGTCAATATTTGTGTCAGATACAGTGAAGTGAAAACATTTTAGAAACTATTTTATTTACGATTTGTTTTTTGTATACTGTATTTAGAGAGACTTTTAGGATGTTTCTTTATAGTTCCCATCTGCAGAGATAAATTCTATTCCTGTATTACGTGTTACCTTGTTAACTGTGTAAATATTGTGTCAAAGTAATGCTGTGATTAATTAAGAAACAGATGTGATTAATGGAAAAGTCCAGAAATAAGGAAATTACCTCAATATGCTTTTTTTTTTAAAAGACTTCCTTTTTATAAACTGTTATATTTTAACAGAGCTAGAATTTAACTGGAGTTACTCAAATTTGTTACAATTAATGATTTTATTTCTTGAAGTCTAGATGCTGTTTAAAATACCTTAGGAAACTACTGAATTCAACAAAAATAATGTTCAGAACTACAGGACTTAAAATTATATTAAGTTTTTTGTAATTGTGCACATATTGCAACAGAACACATAGTAAAGTAGAACGACAAAGGCCAGCATTCAAACTGTATAATTTATTCATAGTTGTGATTGAGTATGAGGATGTAGTTTTTATGAAACCTTCTTCATCATGCACTGTCATGCCTAAAGTCAGATTTTTCAATGTCCTCTTTCTTACCTTTTGAGTTTTGAAATAACTAATATGAGTTAGAATCAAAAACTAAGTCACTGCTTGAATCTGTCCATTTTAACCTACTGTACCAGTACTGTATGTCTTTTGACTGTGGGAGAAAACCCATGTGTCACCATCGCAAACCCCTCCTCTTAAGGGCGCTCCAGCCCTTCCTTGTTTGTTGTTCATCTCCCGCACCTGCTCCCTGTTCCAGCCCCTTTTCTGTTCCCCCTTAAAAGCCAGATGCTGATGCCAATCCGGGCTCTGCATTGGTTCCCGCATCATGCGAGCCCGGGGACCTGGATGTGCCTGGCTCCGTTATGGTTTTAGTTTCTGTTTCTTGTTCCCGTTCCCATGCCCTCTGCCAGTCCCGACTCGGTTCTGGTTTTTAATCATCTGTCTCGGATGGATTGTCTGGCCTTGGACTTTTGCCCTGTTTATGGAATTCTCTTTGGATTTGGACTCATCCCTGGATTGTTTGCCTCGGTCACATCTCCCCCGACCACCAGCACTCCTTGGACACGCCCCTCTGTTTTTATTCCCGTATCCTGCATGCTTTTTTTCCCAGTGTTTCCTCACTCAACCCCAGATCGTGTCGTCTGCATAGGGTCAGAAAGAACGCTTCGTGACACCATGCGAAGGTGAAGGAGAACATATACTTTAAACTTCACGCAGATAGCACCCCAGGTCCGAAATCGAACCCATGGCCCCAACAGTATGAGGCAGCAATGCTAACCACAGCACCACTGTACTGCCCACTTGAGGGAACATTCCCTGGTAATTACCGGAGAGCTGGCTTGCCATCCTGCGTAGTGTAACTGAGGAGGTTCTGATCTGCACTTCACCACTGTCCAGAAAAATCAGCCCATCAGTGATATACTTAAGCTCCGAGTCTCGGGATTTCCCCAGGGGGTTCTTAATAGTAAAATTCTCCACGTATTTTTCCAGAGGGTCATCCAGGGAGCCCACTTTGCCTTCCTCCCAGAGACGGTAGAGCATCAGCGTAGGGAAAATCTTTGAGAGACTGGCGACCCTGTAGCACACACAACACAGATATTTGAGTCACAGAGACAAATTCATTAACATGAAAGAGACCTCCACTCATCTGCAGAATTCCTTTGTGAAGAAGTCTCTTTACCCACAAAACAATTCCAAAACTTTCAATATGCTTAATTCCTGTGTGCTGCTATTCCTAATGAACTGTACTTCCCCTGAAGGGAACATTTACCACTTAAATAGTCTGTCAACAAGGACTTCACACTTTTGCCTTTTTGACAAGGACAAGTCTCAGTTATGTGATATTTCATACATACAGCTCACTCCCAGTGCCATAAAATGAACACAATAATAGGCTTAAAAATAAATCATGACTGGCTTATTCATAAGTTCCCCCACATTTAATTAGAAAAATAGCGTGCCTGAAGGCAAAAGAGCAGATGTTTCAGCAAATCAGTGAATTTCCAGGTCTTCCATTAAAGGTTATTAAGTGTTGTGTATGAGTCAGAGGTTGACTAATCAGTGGCTTACATGTAAGGTGGCTGACACACAACATGCTTATGTGTTAAGCTAATGGCGCCTGATCTGCTCCATTTCTTCAAACTCCTTTACCTCGTGGTGTCCCTGGAAAAAGGCTACTACGCCTTCATTAAAAATTATATCTGGCAATGAGTGATGCTGTTTACTCTAATTGTGAGAAAGTGAAATGGCATGTTGAAAATTCAGCTGCCAAAAATAACAGCTGTGTAAATATTGACATTCAATGACATGTCCCTGTCTGGTATACCTGAAAAATATAGTAACAGAAAAAATACATCCATAGATACTTTGCAGCCTGCAAGTAAAGATTAGTAGCCCCAGTTATAGCAATATCTGCAAAGCTTCAGTTTTATCTATAATAACAATATCCTGACAAACATTTTTGAACAAGAAACTTTGACTACAGATAGCAAAATCCTATTTCTCATAATCAAAAGTACTTGAGCTGAGGGGGAATATCATTCCCATTGTTAATCGAATCATTTCCCATGGTACAACAGTATTCCCCTTTACAAAGAGAAGTGGTCCCTTGTTAAGAATGTTCTTAAGAGATTGTTCCCCTTAAAATGATTCCCAAATGGATATCATGTATGAAATCCATTACTTGTCTATTAGATCCCATTCCCTCTGCTTGATTTCAATTCTTTTTCTCTACTTTCTGCCTTGTCCTTAACATAATAAACGAGACCTTGAGCACTGGTGTGGTACCAACGGCTTTTAGTTTGTTATAATCAGATGACATCACTCATGTTGTACTCAGTCAAGAGGGAAACTCCTTGTCCTCCAGACTGATGAAGCTTCCCCCCATACACCTTCTTATACATTGAACAATTATCAAAAGCATGAATGTGAAAAGTACAAGTTCTTAGTTATTTTAGATCCTAATAAATGTGATTGTGGGATGAATGTGTTCGAGTTTATATGGCATAACTCGCCTAGCTGAGGCAGCCTGACCATAATAATGAGACAGAAGGAACCTTCCCTCACTTTCTTGAGGAATGAGCCAGGGAGCTGCGGCAAGGGTGACAATTGTGTGACGGGAGGCATGCAAAAGAAATCCACAAAGGAAAGTCCAGAAGGTGAGTTGTTTACATATGTTGGAGAGCGCAAGTAGGCAAGATAAGAACCTAACCTTCTTCCTGAGTATCAGTATGAGCTCGAGGACTGAGTATGAAAACTGAAGCAAGTTTACAAAGGAGGTTCGCATCTTGGCAACTTCCAATAATTTACAACATTTGGTTTGCTAATTTGAAGATCCTTAGTCATTGTCTAACAAAAAACAGTAAATCTGCTTTGGCATTATGAAGGAATTGTTAATTAAAAAACCTCCATGCACAGTTGCAAATATGCCTGCACATTAATCTGCATCTTTATGTGGTCATTGGAAATTTTTAAATGTATTCAGATTGCCCATCTCATTAAAAGACTTAAAGCATAGTTCCTGGTCTATAACTGGAACAAATCCAATTATATAAACTCAGTGATACATGACTGTGATTTATATTACAGTTTATGTAAAAGGACACCAAAATGTATTCCTACTTGTTTTGGCAACAGCCACAGTGCATCTACATTAGCATGGGAAGGACTTAAATAAATTAAATTTAAAATGCTAAATGGAAACATCTAATGTTATGCATAACATAGCTTGAACAGACTTATATGGAACTTCAGAATAGAAATAAATTCATAAATGAATTATTGTTTAATTTATTAGGCAGTTGTAATCTCTTCCAAGTTAAACCAGCTACTGAGAACTCATTAAGGTTAAAGAAGGTTAAAATTACACTGAAGGTTGGAGTTTATTACCATTTAAAGCAACATTCTTTTAAGAATAATCAACAGGGAGATTCATTTTCCAGAGACAAAAGCCCTGTTTAAAGAACATAAAAATTGGGGATTTTAAAATATTTTAAATTTCTGAATAATAAAAAAATCAGATATGCCCCACCGGCACAATAATAATAAAATTCAGAAAGGAACAGTTGTTGTTTTTTCTGCAGCTCAGAATCTCATTATCAGATTCAGCATTAAAGATTAAAGATTAAAGAAGTCTAATTGTAACCTGGATATAACTTTTCACAAAAGGTTTCCAGTCTGAGACTGTGGCTAGCATGCCATTTTACTAAAATTAAATATATATACAGTATAGCTCTACATCTAAGGAAAGCACTTTTCTTAGCTCTCTTAAAATAATGAAACCAGTGCTCCTACTGTATGTGCTATGGTCATCCTCTTTCAATAAAATTAAAATACATTATGTGTACCAGAAATGTAAAGTGTATTTCATGTATATATCTTTTTTGGTTCCAAAGCATACATCCTTTTAACACAATTTGAACTGTTATCATTATTATGCTATTAAATTGGATGCTGTAAATGTGATTTTACTGTGTGATGTTCAGTTTTTCTATGTTCAAAAGGAAAAAAATATAGAGAAAAGCTGAAAATTTAGATCACATCAATACAAGTGAAGCTGTGGGTTATAAAGTGGAATTGTTATTTCAAAAGCTTCAGATAATTCTTTTTTCTCAAGAAGAAACAGAACTCAATTGCCAATTGAACACAATTTAAATCGCCAAATCACACATCCTTAATCAGTTCTGCAATGTCACACTTATCCTGTGTTGGGAAAATAGTTACAAATTATTATGTAAGGGAATATTTAAGTTAAGATGTTGAGGAAAGATTCTTTTAAGGAAGCAATGTATTACATTATGCAAGACTTATACATACACTAAACAGAACACGGTAACTGATTGTTTTTTTTTACAATTTTCACTCAAGTACTTTTTCTCATACAAGTAGCTTGTGATTTTACCTCAGCGTTACTTTTTAAAAATTGCTGTCCCCTACAGAGATCTTAACTGTTAGTTCCTTTTACTAACTTCATTCATACTGGTTCAAACTACAATAAAGTCAAGCAAAATCACATCTACAGTAATTGTCTGAGATTGCCTAAGCTAGTATCTAATCAACAGGAAAAAGTCTTAGTGTGTGTTATTGAGAAGTGTTAAGATCACCTGCTGCATTTCATTACTATTGTCTTAAAATTGTCTCATTCTCTTCTAGCTGCTCAGGATAATTAAAATGAATTCAGTACATCAATTCCTCCTTTAACACTTTGAATAAAATAAGATAATTTGCGATTGTTTCTTGAATGAATATGCATCACTAATTGGATTTATAAATATCAGATACATATGCAGACTACAGAATTAATCCTTCTCTCCCTGTACTAATTATACTGACATGCAAGTGAGTGAACCTAGCTCATCATGCATATCATATACCATGTCACTTGGTTTGACAGATACTTGAATATCGTCTATTTTGTCAGATGTCAAAAGATGTCTGCCTAAGAGTCCCGTCTGCTTTGTAACTTTTCCTTTGTTCTGACAATAAAAGGCATTGCAGAAATGTGAGCAACAAAACGTGGGGTCTACTCTTTAAACACATGTTGTTTTACATAATTTTGGTAAAATCATCAGTTTGCATTTGCTGAAAAATACTTTAATAGAATAAATGGACCTGAAATCCATCATTGATTCTGTTTTTAGGTAGGAAATTGATTTATCCTTTCCTTACCCACTGTGCTATCTATGATGAAGTCTAAATAAGTCTGTCTTGTAAGGGAACAGTGCACAGTGAAAAGTGAAGTGATCATAGTGAGGACAGAAAATCTTTGCATTTGTCAGTAAGACGACTTCATACCTGTAGATGGTATATTCATTTGGTGGGGGAGAGAAGGGGTCAGAGCCGTTCTTCTTGCCAAAGTTTCCAGTCCACAGTACAGTGTCATTGAAAATGACTATGGCAGATAGAGACGGAAGACTGGTGGAGTGAATACTGTGCCGAAGAAGCATGTCCACCTGTTAGGAGAAAGCTTGCTGTGAATATCGTGAGGCAGGTTTTCACAGTATTGGACTGCAAACACAGCATTTCCCTTTGATTTATCCAGCTTTTGACATGTAATGTACAAGAAAAATAAATGCATCTCCATCAATGTCTCATGGGCTGAAAATCTCTATCAGGGGAGGTCACAGCCTGGAAGTGGCTGGCCATGCGTAACAACCCATGTATCTCACTCTGTCCCTTTAACAAGGCGTAGGCCCCCCGCCGAAGCACCTAACCAACCAGCTTACCTGTTCTATCACCACAACCCCCAGCACTTCCCTGCTTTAGGACACCCTGTCAGAACACAAAATGCTCAGTATTGGACATTTTCTCCTGTTGAGCAGCTTTCTCCCTGTGCTTCATCACTATTACTCTTTCTGGCTTTTTTGGACTCTCTTCCCTTCGACCTCAGCTTACTGATTTCATCTCTGGTTTTGTTACTCTTGGCTTTTTGATACCTGGCTTCTTGAGCTCTTTTTGACTATGGTTTGTGGATTTCGTCTCGGACTCCATACACTTGGCTCTCTTTTTCGGATACCTGGTTCCTTGGACTCTGTCTGGCCTTTTGACGACGGTTTGTGGATATACTGGTTCCAACCACAATAAAGTCGAGCAAATTCACATTTAATTGAATTAAATTGGATTGGATACCTGGTCTCTCGAACTCTGCCTGGCTTTTGACTTTGGTTTATGGATATTGTCTTTGACTTATACCGTACACTTGGCTCTTTTTGGATACCTTGCTTATTGGAATTCGGCTCTCTACACAACTGTGACCTCTGGATTACACTCCTGGCCTTATTGTTTTGCCCTCTGTATTTTTAGGATCCAATATCTCTGTTTATATTCCACGATTGTAACACCATGTTTCTCAATTGCCTGGACAGAGAATACCTTTTACAGTAGGCACCAGCTTTTAGTGGTATAAAACTCAACATTGCTGGGATTCTGTGGAGCTGAATCAATCTTGGAATACTCACTTTTTGGTTAAGCAGCTTCTGTGGGGCTAAATGATCCAGTTTAATACCTTTGAAATAATGCCCGTGCTTAGCAATATTGTTTTGATATTGATGTGGAGAAAGAGGTTTCTCAGTCAGGTTTTTTAAATAATTTTGAAAGTGGCCATCATTTAGTATTATTATCATACCTAATTTGGAATCGCTAATTGTGCCTTTGTCTCTGCTCACAGCACCAATCCCTGCAGCCACAAAGGAAATGCAGACTTCAGCCTACTGTACCTACTCATTGAAGCATTAAACCAATTCAACCACCGAACCCATTGAACCATTCATTTTTTGGTTTCTTAAAGGTCTGCCATCATGTAGAGGAGGCTTAGCTCCCATTGGAGGAGAAGTCATAGGGTTTCACTGTTTCATTGGCTATGGCTGACTTATTCCAGCAGCACTTAACCAGTTGTGTGCCACTGTTGGAGCTTCCAGTCACAGTCAGCTAGTGACATGACCCAGCCTCTGAATCACAGAGCTCAGCCTGCACTTGTAGCATGATTTTTTATTGGTTTCACAAACAGTATTAGACACAACTACCAGTGAATTCCCTGTAGGATTTCACTTTTACTCACTCTTACTCACTAGAAGCAGATGGCATAGATTTTATATAGGCATTGGTTTGAGAAACAGAATCCCAAACATTTCCACAGATGGCTGGGCATTTGACCATAATGACCAGTAGTGTACAGTATCTCTTACTCTTAGGAGGAACAATATATTTATGAAGATGAAGAGCTCTGGAATCCACTTCACAAAATGTTTCAAACAACTTTTTTAATCATCCTTATAGTTATACCCAAACCACTTTATTACTTCTATCAGAAAGTTTTTTTTTTTCTTGGCAAGGGTCATGGCAAGATTGTATTGATTGTATGGATTGATTAAGAGAAGAAGGAAAGTCGAGCTCTTGTGGTACTATTTGGCTTATTTGTGCAACTCCAGGATAGGTTCTGCCACAGCCACAATGGAGCTCATAAACAAAATGTCATCCAAAACAGGACGCTTGTTAGCAAGCCGATAAAGACAACCTAGGTGATAGAATTTCGTGAACATGGTGCAATCATTTTAAAACCTTGTGGTTACATTGGAAAGTCCAAAAGTTTTGCTTAGTGGACTCTCATCTCCCAATTCCTGGAGCTTACCTTCTCTAATGCCTCCTTCAGAGAGGGGATGGGGTGCTCAAGAGGAATAGGTTCTGGAAACCGGGGACACATATGTTCCGATTTTTCATTGCCATCCATTACAGCATCTACACAAGGCGGGGGAAGAAGACAGAAGTTCCTTGATGACGCAGTGCATCAAACAGAATTCACAAGATGTGGTCTGTGCCAAGGTAAACAGTCCGATAGATGCAGGGACTTAACAAGTTTCCAGTTGGGCATGAATGAAGCTTTGATTTAACTATGAAAATCGTTAAAGACAATGCGGCAAATCCACTGGCACAGTATGTACTTTTACAGGTTTTTCTATTTAAAGGCCTCTTCTCTCAATTCGACCAGCAAAACAAATTCACTTAATTTGTACCCAATCATTACACTGCCTCAGCTCTGATTGTTTCCCCTTGAGCAAAAGGCTTTTTTTTTTTGTTGCTATATGTGGTGAATAAATAGACCAACAGCAGTGAGCCACTAAGAATCTACACACTACAATTTAACAAAAATAGTATCTAAGTCAATATGCATGGAAAGAAGGTGAATAAGGAATAAGTCTTGCATTCCAGGTAATAATTCCTATTCAATAAGAACAGTTTTTATTAAATTCCCATGTCCCATTACTATTAGTGTGATTCAGTGCTCAGTGCAACTGTATACTATTTTTACAGACCCTATAATTAAATATAGTGTTTGTACTTTCAAACACCTCTCTGTGCCTGATTGCTATAACAATGTTCTGGCACAAAGATGCAAATTTTTATCTTTTTCACTCTTTGCTTCCATGACTCAAGAGTTCCCCCCCAACTCCATCATCTGTTCAGACTTAAAAACCTTCTCCCACTACTTCAAGCTTCACGTAATCTCCAGAGATCACATGTAAATGAGTAATTAAGAACAGATAAGAAGCTCACAGTGCTAAATGTGGAAGGTAGCTCCTGGTTTTAATGGCATGAAAAGACCTCTGCAGAGCCGATAATAGAAATAAGTCACTTTAAGCTAATGTCGGCTCCCCAAAAATGTCAACTGCTGCCGATAGAGAAATCTAGAGCAAGCATGCCCAATTTGTTTGTTGCACTAGATGAAAATGTATTTTATTTCTTCATAACTGTACAGCTGTTTAGATAGAAGCCCAAAGTATTTTAAAACTCCTAGGTACAAAAAGAAAATGTGAATATTCCAAAATGAATAAACTGTCTGCCATCAAGACCATCACAAGGAGGAATAAGAAAATAGTCTCCTTTTAGTACTGGTTCATCCTCACTGATTTCAGTCCTGAGCTTTTGACAACTGAGGACTTCAAAGAAGCCCGAAATTGTTAAATCCATTAAAAAAATATCAACTAGAAATGGCCCTAGGAAGAGTGTAAATGCAGGTTCAAAATGCAGCTCACAGAAGGACTAACTTACCTGGTTCTACCTTCGGCAGCTGGTATTGCCACAA